ACAGAAATCTGACAAAAAGAATGGTACCCAGAGTATCTTACAATCCAATAGCAGTAAGGCAACAACCCAATTTTAAAAACAAGCAAAACAGAGTATTCCCTGGCAGCCCAGTGGATAGGACCATGGCCCAGGTTCAATTCCTGGTGGAGGAACTAAGATCCCAAAAGCCACATGGTATGACAAAAAGAAACAAGACAGACAAAACAGATACTTTTATAGATATACAGATACTACAAATATTATAGCACATGAAGAGATGCTCAACATTATTAAGTCATCAGAGAAGAGCATTGTGTACATATTACACATCTACTACAGTAGATACACTTAAAAGACTGAGTATTCAAACTGTTGATGAAGATGTCCGTAATTGCTGGTGGGAATGTAAAATTATACAACCAATTTCAGAAATGACTAGGCAGTTTCTTATAAAGTTACACATGCACTTCCATGCAAACCAGTCTTTCCATTCTTAGCTATTTACAGAGAAATGAAAACATATATCCGCACAAAGATTTGTACACAAGTGTACATATTATCTTTATTTATGATAGTGGAAAACTGGAAATGACCCAAAGAGCCATTAACAGATGAAAGGATGATTGTTGTATGGATGTCAATGGATGGTTCTTTAGCAATGAGGAAGGAAGACCTATATACTCAACATCATAGAAATAATCTCAGAAACACTACAGTGAGTAGGGAAAAAAAGCCAGACATAAAAAGTGCTTACTGAATGCTTCCATTTTTATGAAACTAAGAATGGCAAATCTAATTGATAGTAATAGAAAGCACATTAGAGGGTTTATGTGTCATGGGGCCGAGCATGTCAAGCTTGACTAGGAAGGCTAATGGATAGAATCTGTATGCTGATTATGGTGGTGGTACCTGGTGTATGATTTTGTGAAAACTCATTGATTATACCTTGATGAAGTTGAGCATCAGAAAATTGTTATATGGTTTAGGACATAAAGTTCGATTTTGTGCAGGTTAGTGTGTTTCTGAAAGCTTGGGCTCTCTGTACAAATACCAGGGCTGAATGAAATCTTGGAGACAGGGTTGTGGATGAAATAGAAAAGGATAGTTTTATTCCATTGCCAGGCAAAGGGAGACACAACAGGCCTCTGCCTCAAAAAGCTATGTATCTCAACCCCAAAGAACTGATGAGGGTTTTTACAACAGTAAATCAAAGGTGGAGTCTCTGACAAGATTTGGGTGTGTGCAGGGTCTCCAGTGGTAGGGTCTCCTAATCTTGATGAACTTATATGGTCCCTTTCATCTTGCCTCAGACAATTTTTGGCTGCTCCTTCCTTGATTAGCAATTGTTCTAATCTGCTCTTTGGAACTCAAGGTCATAATGGCTAAGGTCTTGCCTACAAGAAGTGGAGGGCAGAAAGGTCTCTAAGCCTGGAAGCTGCACAGGACCCTGATTGGTTTCAAATGTACTTAAAAGAAATGCAATAATAAAATTGACAAGGGACTTCCCTAGAGGTCCAGCAGTTTAGAATCTGCCTGCCAATGCGGAGACACCAGTTTTATCCCTGGTAGGGGAACTAAGATCCCACATGCTGAAAGGTGACTAAGTCCACAAGCCACAACTACTGAGCCTTGTGCATTCGAGAGCCTGCACACCACAACGAAGAGCCAGCACAGCCAAAAATAAAAATAAAAAATAAAAATAAATAAAATTGACAAGATTGTCTTTTACCTTTCTTTGCATATACCAAGCTTTATAAAGACACATAGGTACCAAAGGGCTGAAACTGTAGACTTACTGCTGGGAAGGATGCTTTGCAGAAAGTCCCCCTTTCTTCACTTTCTTTCAGTTTCCTTCCTTGCCCTCTCCTCAGTCCTTTCCTTAATATCAATAACAATTTATGTTTGTAATGAGCTTTCTAATTACAAAGCACTTTCCAACCTCATTTACTTCTCAGAATAACTTTGAGAGCCTGGAATAGAATTATTTCTTCATTTTATATATGATGAAACAAAAAATGAGAGCCAATGAGATAAAAAACATTTTACCAAAGGCAGCACAGTTTGTTTGTACCTCACAACATAAGCAATAGCTTTTTTCTTAGCTTCCATGCCTTTTTTTTTTTTTAACCCCTCTACACTTTAAATTGTTTAGAGTAAAAATCTTCCCAAGGTGTGAAAATAAATCCCACTTAGTGACAAATATATATGATGTCTCTTAAAACAAATATTCACTTATTTGACTGCATCAGTTCTTAGTTGTGGCAACATTGGATCTTCGATCTTCTTTACATAAGTAGGATCTAGTTCTCTGATCACAAGTCAAACCCTGACCAGGGATCAACCCCTCTTAGCCACTGGACCACCAGGGAGGTCCCATAGGATGTCTTGACAAAATCCAGTCAGCTCATACAGATCAGTCTTGGCCTTAATATGCCCTTAGGTGCTAGGTACTTATGATCAAGGTGTTCACACACAAGAGACTCCAATGGAGGGCTGAAAAGGGAAGATTAACTCTTTCCATTTCCTTATAGCTATTATGGTCAGTCCCTCCACAGCCCCCCTCCTCCCATTTTTTCCTCTCTCTAACCTGCAGCCAAACAGGTTTTTTTCTGTTTGAGATCAATTGACCAGAGCACCCCTGGATTGTTCCTTTCTCTTCTCCTGATTTTTGTTGAATCCCATTCTACTTCAAAACTATTGACAGCTCTGAGCTCTAGACCCCCTGTGCTTTGTACTTCTCTAAATTCCTCAGACTAAACTCACCTCCTGAGGGCAGGAGGAAAAGGGGTGACAGAGGATGAGATGGTTGGATGGCATCACTGACTCAATGGACAGGAGTTTGAGCAAACTCCGGGAGATAGTGAGGTACACGGAAGCCTGGCAAAGGAGTTGCAAAGGGTCAGACAGGACTGAGCGACTGAACAACAACAACAGAATGTACAAATCAATGCTGGAATCTGAAATAGCTATGCGGGGACGTCCCTGATGGTCCAGTGGTTGAGAATCTGCCTGCCAATGCAGGGGAACAGGAGTCTGATCCCTGGTCTAGGAAGATTCTGCATGCCTTGGGGCAACTAAGCTCTGCACCACAACTACTAAGCCAGGACTTCCTTGGTGGCTCAGACGGTAAAGCATCTGCCTACAGTGCGGGAGACCCGGGTTCAATCCCTGGGTCGGGAAGATCTCCTGGAGAAGGAAATGGCAACCCACTCTAGTATTCTTGCCTGGAAAATCCCATGGATGGAGAAGCCTGGTAGGCCCCAGTCCATGGGGTCGCAGAGTCGGACTCGACTGAGCAACTTCACTTCACTTAGAGTCTGCCAGAAACTAGAGATGGTCCCCACATGCCCAAATTAAGAGAAAGCCCTTGCACAGCAATTTTGACCCAGCTTGGGCAAAAATAAATAAATAAATAAATTTAAAAATAAAATAGCTAGGTAGTAGTGCAAAGACGACTGGCTTTGAATTCATAACGACTGAAGTTTCAATTCTGGCTCAGACCTGACAACTACAAGTATTTGTTGAACTCTTAGTAGACATTCAAGCTCTATGATAGGTGAAGGTGCAAAAGAGAATTAAAACATAATCACCATTTTCAAGGCCCTTACATTTGAAGGATGGAACGGGGAGACAAAATTCCTAAACAGATTGTATCCATACAATAATAGATCTAACTAAAGGTTATATTATGAAAATCTTATGATCTTTCACGATCTAAGCCTTGGAGTCTTCATTTGTAAATCAGGAATAATTATACTTCACTTCCAGGCATAATGGCTGGCACATAAGAGATTAATATTGCAAAACCTGTTATTCCAGGGAAAGCCTTTTGTGTCCTTACTTCTCCTTTCTGTAAAGAAAAGTGATCTTTTAACAAACTGCATTTGAACGCTGTAATGTAAGATTCACTCAAAATAAATACACTTACATAACTTTATTACAACAATAAGAGGTGTGAAAGGGAATTACTCAAAATCTCACCATGCTAGAAAATCACTTACTTTCCCTCGCTAGTCTTATTTACCAGTTTTTGTCTGTTATAAAGCTGTATCTATTTTTAAATGTTTTAGTGTTGCTACAAGGTATACAATACTTATAATTTTTGGTGACTGTTAAAATTTTAATTGACTGGATTCCTGTTATTTGCTTAATCATTCCCCTATGGTTCCACATTTCTCTTGAGAGGCAACGATTCATTGGAGAGAATGAAAACTTTGAAAACAGACACATCCTAGGTTTGAAGTCCTAAGCGAACCTCTTACTAAGTGATCCTGAGTAAGTTATTTAACCTTTCTGAAACTAAGGTTTAAAGAAGGCGGGTTTTAATAAAAATTACGCTTTTATTCTGCATGTAGAGGTGATCTGTATAAAGTCTGTGCCAAAATTTGGATACTCGAAATAAATCATAATTTTAATATTTAATTATCAGTATATAATGTGATAAACACCTTTAACACATAAAGCTCATTTAACCCTTTGTGTTACTTCCTTAGGATCAAGTTTTAAATGGGATTACTTGGGTCAAAGATTATAAACGGCATTTAGAAACATCTCAAATTGCTTTTCAAAAGACTTCCTTCAATTACACAACTACTAGCAAGACACATTGCATCAGCCTTACTTTACGGTTACCAAAGGTATTTTATTGTGTTACATCTTTATAATTGATTGTTTTGATTTTCTTTCTGAGAAGTTGGAACATTTTTTTCTTTTTCAATAGCAAGTACTGTCTGTAGGAGCGACAGCTCAGGGCCACGTGGGCTGCGGATCGCACAAGTGGACTACATCGCACCAGTGGACTACATCTCCCAAGGTGCTCCACCGGCGCGCCGACAGGAAGTGGCCGGAGCATCTCCCGCCTCCACGCCGAGGAGAAGAGGTTCTATCCGGGGCCTTGGCGCTTCTCTTTCCTTTCGCGCCGGTTGCCGCTGCGGAGCGCGGCGGGTCCATGTGCGCAGTGAGCGGCGATATTCCTGGCCCAGTAGCACCCGAGTCCCGGGTTTGACCGCGTCCACGTTGCGATGGACCCCAACACCATTATCGAGGCCCTGCGGGGCACCATGGACCCAGCCCTGCGTGAGGCCGCGGAGCGCCAGCTCAATGAAGTAAGGACGCCGGGGTGGCGGTGGCGGTGGTGGCGTCGGCGGCGGCGGCGGCGGCGGGCGGGCGGACTGTGGCAGGCCGAGCCATACCGGCCTGGCCAGAGGCTCGGACGGCGTCGCTGAGGGGCCCAACTGGAGGGGTGGGGCGGGGACCTGACGACGAGTGCCACGCCGGGGCCCTTTGGCTGCTGCGGTAGTGGTGGCGCCGGCCACGGTTTGCGTCTGATCCTGAGCTGGGCCTCTGGCCGCGGTGGAGGCATGAGGGGCCGGCTGGGGCGAGGCGGGCTTGACGGGCTGGACACATGGCTGGCTCGGGTGGCCGGCCGCCCTCTGGCTCATTCCCAGCTTGTTCTCGCGCCCAGGAGGGGGCGAAAGTCACCGGGAGGTTTTCAGACGTTTCCGGGAGGAGTTTTGCTGGCGCCGGATTTGGAGGGGCTCCTGGGAATGCAGAGCTGGTCCACTGGAGGCTGCGCCTGTCAGCTTGTCCCTTTCCTGGGCTGATGGGTGACCTGCACAACTTTCTCCTCTCCGGCTGAGTTGCTGGGGACAGCTTTCAGAGGCGAGCCCCCACTTCTTAGGCAGGGTGAGGGTAGTGCGGGACACCCATAGGAGTCTGATTCACTGCTCTTCTACTCTATTATTGCCTCGCTGGGGAAGGCAGGGCTATTTAGTGGAAAGTGTCAGGTGAGGCGCAACCTTCTAGGTAGAGCTACACCACTAATTTCTGAACTGACCTTGGGCAAGGCGCTTAACCTTTCGATGCTGATTTTTTCCCATTCATAAAATTAGGCCAGAAGGTTTGCTGAGAGGTCAAGGGAGACGATGTAAGACAGTGCCTTGAAACGTGCCAAGGTCCATATCAACTCTCTGAGGATTGGTTTATTTTTCTCCCCATGTTTTTGGAGGAGACCACCCTTTGGAAAGCAGCCTTATTATGTGGGTATTTAATTGTACTCTCTCCCGTTTCATTCTTTGTTTCTAAGTTTCTGCAACTTCTTTTGGAGTATTATAAAGACTTTGAAAAGGATCCCTGTCTCTTCCTGTGTCTCCCTATGAATTTGTCCAGCTTTAGTGAGGTTTATGTCTTTTTAAGGTAGAGAGAATTCCTCTTAAATAGAATTTCAGTTAGTTTATGCTCCTCTTAGCTGGTAGGTAAACACTTCTAAAACTTTATATTGACTAATATGAATTGAACATCTTCAGTGTACCTTGCTGTTTAGAGATCCCTGGCCTCGTGAACTTAAATTTTAAAAAGCTCATCCACAGAATTTAGACAAATTAAGTGTAAAGTTATTTCAAAATAAAAAGTTAAATCTACTTTATATGGAAGACCATTAGATCTTGCCAAAAATGATGCTCAAATTCTTAGGCTGAAAGTCACGTTGGGAGGAGGATAGATTGCTTTTGGATATAAAATAGTTGAAAGAAATTCACTCTTTAAACCAATACTAAACTATGGAGAGTTATGAATCACTTTTTGATTTGTTTTGTGATAGACACATGTTAAGATGAACATTATTTTGTTTATGATGTGCTAAACACACTACAAGTTCAGTCATAGTGATTTCTACCATGACTTTGCCCTAAATCACATTATTTTGACTAAATATACTTGTGTGTAATTATTAATTTAAAAAAGTTATTATTTGAAAGAATTGGTTTCTTTGTAGGAAAATTGGGTAAGTAATACTTACTGCAAATTTGAAATGTATTTATTCTTCAAGCAGCTCAGTTCAGTTGTATGTACTAACATCTTGTAATAGAGACTTGGGGTAAGTATTTAACAGGCTAGTTTTTAGAAGATAAACAATCAAAGTAATATTCAAAGCATTTATTACTTAACAGTTAAGCTGCTATTACGGTTTTGAAATTTTCTGGAGTATGAACACTGCTTATCTTTTCTTTAAAAAAAAATTGATACCTCGCCTGTATTTCTGTAATTGTTAGCTACTTATATTTTGCACTTTCCTTTCAGTTATTGTACCTAGATTTTTTAGTAATTCTGCTAAGATGACTTTTCTGTTAATTAGCATATTCTAATTCCAGTCTTGCTTGTATTTGAATCCTTTTTGCTTTGACTTTCTTGTAGCAGAACCTTGATTTAGGAAGAAATAAACCCCAGATAAGTCTTGAAGAAGCTTGACTGTAGTAAGAACAGGAAGTAGCATCTGGCTGCTCTTCCGGCAAAGCTCTTCTTACTTTGGATAAAATAGGGTAAACTGGTCATTCCTCCATCATGATGATGGCTCTTTCAACTGAAGCTGCGTATTGGTTCATTTAGTTAGGAGAAAAAGATCATTGCCATTGAATCAGTCTCTTCAGCTAGGTGAAGGAATCACTAACTCTAAAAATTTTTAATATTATCAAAGTAAATAGTTGAAAAACCAAACCCAAAGTGTCCCTGTCTCAGAGGTTGCACTTGACTTCCATTTGCTTGGAAGCCCTTTCATTCATTTGCCTCCCAAGCTTGTTCCCTCGCCTCGCTCTGTCACTGCTCCGCTGTGTCCATACCCGCAAGGAGTGACTCGCCCACCGTGCTCCCTGTCTCCTTTCACTTGTTTGCTTTCCTCTGTGTCACTGATCGTGTCATATGTATTGTGCTTACTGTTTCCCCAGTGTAATTTTTGAGTTTCATGAGGTCAGGAATTCTTACGTCTTGTTTCTGTTATTCTTTGCTTGTTAATGGTAGGCTTTACTGACTTCCTGTTATAGTAGGTAACAACATAGGCTTTAGATTTCTTATATCACCTCCCCTTCAGGAATTTTAAGGGTATTTATATGTTTTTTATATTACGTATTAAGTTCTAATAGATTGTTAAAGACCACTGTACGGACACTCTTTTTGACAGATGTTTTCAAGATAAATCTGTTTTAGTATTCCTTACTTAACTCTGTAGTATGTTATGAATGTTGATCTTTTTTTTGAACTGCTGTTACAATTTGGAACCCATTGCCATGTCTCAGTTTGAAATATGTTCATGTAACAAGCTTTGCCTCAAAGACTGGAGAAAACCATTTTAATTTTTTTTTTTAACTACTGAAGATTTCTCCACTAGCTGAAGGGTATTAATTTAACCTCTTTTTAAGCATCATTTTCCTTGTTATCGTGGTATGTCATTGTGTTGTGTGGGTTGAGCAAAATGAATGTAAAAATTGTAGAACTACTAAGTTCTCTCCAGAGTATTTGAATTACTGTGTAAGTGCCAATTGATTAACCAATCCAACATGGAATACATTTCATTTCCTACCTAAGTTAGTAGTTGTTCATCTCAGTGGCAGATGATCAAAACTGATGGAGAGAGAACACATAACCTGTTATTTGGGCACCTAGCTCAGTAGTGGATAGCATCATTATATTGCAGCATGAAAATTGGTACTCTTATAAGCACACTGCCTGGCACATTATAGGCTACCAGTAAATATTTGTTGAATGCAAAGAGAAATAAAAACTTGAATAATGGAAATGTTAAGAATACTCATCCTTGAATTGTTAAAGTAGATTTGTGTTACAGGGATCTTTCAATTCTCATTGAGATTGTATACTATATAGTCTAATATATCTAGAAGTGCAATTAAAAAATTTGTTTAGGTTATCTAAAATGTGTGTATTTGGTATTCATTCAACATTGTTTCTTATATTCTAGAGACTGTTTGTTTTTGAATACAAAGACTGTTCTTTCCCATCTGTACACACACACACACTTAGAAATGCTTGTTTTTTCATTTTCATTTGCAAGATAAAATATGTCTGAAGGTTTTTGGCAGATTATTATAACAGAAGACAACATCCTCTGCTCTCTTGCTTTAGTTGCCAGTGTTCCTCAGTGGAAACCTTTCTGTATGCAAATTTTTACTCATGCTGCTCACCCCTCTTGTTAAGCTCTATCACCTACAACTAAAATTTTTCCTAACCATGGTTTAGTCACTAAGTTGTGTCCAACTCTTGCGACCCCATGGACTGTATGTAGCCTGTCAGGCTCCTCTGTCTATGGGATTCTCTAGGCAAGAATACTGGAGTGGGTTGCCATTTCCTAACCATAAATCTCTTTTAAATCTCTTAAACCCACAGTTCCTAGGCTTAATGTGCTATAAAATAGTTATGTGGGCAGAAATGTTGCTTTTTCACATGCTTTATGTGAATAAAAAGTAAGAGGATATAGCTTTGGTAAGTTTCTTGATATTTTGTGTTTATCTTTAAAATTCATGAACTACCTAAGTCACATCTGGTATCTTCACAGATGGTTACTATTACAACTGTAAGTGATATATTTATTTATAATTGGTTTATTTTATTTTATTAAAGGCTTATGAAATGTTTAAGGAAAATCTTAGGTCTGGAAGAGTGCAAAATGACAGCGGTTTGGCATGTCTAAAAATTCAGCAAATATTTTTGAGACTATGGTGTATATTTTTGGAAGATGGAATAGTTTGTAGTCTGAGCAGGTAACATTCCTTAATTAGGAATGTCATGAAGTAGGTACTGTTGTGAATTTTGTAGAGGGAAAGTCCCTGAATTCTTGGACCGTTAGACAGGAAGTTATTCAGTGACATAACATGTTAAAGATCTGAAGGAAAAATAACAGTGTATTAGTAATACTGGTAAGAAAACTTTCTTTTTCAGAATTAGCGATGCATGCATATCTGTCAGTGGCGCAGTAATGATGAGTTTGATTTAAAGTTTGGCTTTTCTTTTGTAAATTTTTTTTGCCACTGATAATTTGTAATTAAGTTTTAAAAAACCCTTTAATTGGAAAGCATTACCACTTTTTAACGAAAGGCAGGAAGACACAGTGAAGACCCTCATCCTGGTCCTGATTTTACCACTACACTGACTTACCCTTACTGTGCCTCATATTTCATATAGGTAAAATAGATACAGTGTTTGCCTTTGTCAACTTCTTTAGTAAAGCAGAGAGGGAAGACACTCCTTGGCTCTTGAAATTATCTGGCTGTATTCATTTTAAGTAAACTCTGATGTCAGAGTGCCCTTAAGCCCTTCTCTT